CCCGCTCTCCAGAATTTCCCCCTGGAGCCTTGAGAACATGGTAACATCTGACCCGGTTGGGAGGTGGCCTCTGGTGTTGTTCACGCACCTGATTCTGCCCAGCCACTGGTAAGGGTGTTTTCCCAATGAAGTAGCCACTCTCCTCAGGTTGTAGCTCCGCCCCCCCTCAGAGGTTTTGGTTTTAAAGGGATGCTACAGAGAAGTTCTGCTTGTGTGACAATGAAGGAAAAGGATCCTTTTTCCTGTTCTCCCAGACCCACATGCCCTTTAAAATCAGAGGCTTAGCTTGTACAGTCACTTATTTTAAAAAAGAAAAAAGAAACTAGAGAATAATAGCACTGGTATCCAGTGATGAAAGCTCACGTAAGAGTCACACACAGTCATGGGACAAGACGAGAGCGTGCTGTCCATGGGGCAAGGTCACGTGGCAACACCTCGGCCAAACACACACTGAGTTACAAACTAAAGGAAGCATTGAGTAGGCTCATTTCGCAAAAAGTACAACAAAGACAGGTACAGTTAAGAACCATACTGGTACAGTGAACTCAAATGGCTAAAAAGAAACACAGAAGCATTCTCTTCTCCCATGCCCACAGCCAGAGATGGAAGCCCCTCCCTGCCACCTTGAAAAGAGTCTCCCAATTGTCGGATTGTCGGAAGAGTGGGGAGGGTGTGCCAAAGAAGGAGAGAAGAAGCAACCAAAAATCCTTGGAAACGAACAAAATTGGTGCCCAACATGGGCCTTACCTTGGTCTCCGGGATGCAAGCTTGACTCTCCTGGCTGGCCTTGCCAAAATGGTATGTCCTGGATGACTAGCCACAGGGAAGTCCCTTCAGAAAAGGCTCGACAAAGGAATGTATTCCAGATCCTCTTGGCCTTGAAAGAAGAATTGGATATTAAAACGGTGACAAAATTCTGTTTATGAAGTGGGGGCTAAAGGGCTCAGGGGAGAACTCACTCACTCTGCAGAGCACACTTGGGCCAGACAAAGAGAGGAAAGGAGAAAAAGCAAAAATAAAAGCACACTTAGGGAGTTGCAGTGAGGAATCACAAAGGTGGACTTTTTGTGGCATCTCCTCTCTTCCACATCTCCAGGCTGCACACAAGAACTTCCCATCCTGGGTCCTGGGAGGTATTTGGTGCTACTCTGGCATCTTGAATTCACGGGTCTCGCCTTTCCTCAGCCTGCTCTACAACACCCAACTTCCTCTATCAGTCCCACAAATACCCAGGGAAATGGCGTAGACATGAAGGAGGGTGGTGAGTAGATACTTGGGAGGGTCGGGCAGCGGCACGAGTGGACAGGGGCACAGCAATCACTTCTGGTACTCTCTCCAAAGATCCTGCAGAGAGGAGCACTTGTCCTATTGAAGAGACCACAGCTTCTTCCCCAGAAGCCCAGCACTTCCGGGTAGGGCCAATGGGCGGTGCACTTGGGACCCTCTGAGGATGGGGCTCAGCAGGCCCAGCCAGGGCCTCGGATCTGGATGGGTGCCCTGCCCAGTGCACAGCCTCTGCCTGGGTGAAATTTGGCACATTTCAGAGAAGGGTTGTGGATGAAGTCCGCCAGTGGGGAGGAAAGATCTGATACTTGGGTTGGGGAAACTTTTTCATTGGTAGCAGTGTGGGGATAGGGGTCTGTAAGCAGGGAGTTGCCAGACTGAGGACCTCTTTGGGTCTTCTGGCTATTCCTGCCTGCAAGGATTCAAAACTTTACCAGAGGAACTCTCTTAGAAACAACTACAAGGACAAGGATAGAGAGAGAAAAAGACAAAAACCAAGCAAACAAACAAGACAGGTGTAAAAGGAGCCTAGGTAGCACAAATGGCCTTGGGAATTGCACTCAAAAGCCAGAGAGGAAGCTGTGAGGCAGGGCAGAGAAGCCGGGGGCACAGAGGCAAAGTAGCCTTCCCTCCCCACCTCCAATAAAAGGCAAAGGAGACAAAAGGGGGAGGAGGAGCTGACTGACTTCACACACACATCCCTCTCCTCACTAACACTAAACTCAGCTTCCACAGGGCCCCTCCTTACCCACCAGCTGCTTCTCCCAGAGATAAGGCCCTGACCAGGACAAGCCGGCAGGGAGAAGCCCAACAAAGCCCACCAGAAGGAGGCCCACGTAGTCCAGGATGCCTGCCTTAATCCAAGCACAGCCTGGGAAGCCAATCCCACTGTGCCAGGGAGGAAGGTTCCCTACAACCCCATAAATGGTGCCAGGTCCAAACACCCACGAGAAATCCATATTTCCAGAAACTTCTGCTCTTCTCACCAGGGCCACTATCTTCTCTTTTCTGCCTTAGAAATAAAGGATCTTCCTTTTAATTCCCTCCTGGCCCTGAGCTTAGGATCCCAGTAGATCATCCCAGCAGATCAGCAGTGCAGTGCCTGACACGAAGAGTCTGACAGGAATTCATGGGGCCACGTGCAATCTGTTTCCGTGAACCTACACACCAGGTGGGTCCCTGAGAGCTGACTCTGCCGCACCACACAGCAGTGGTCTGCAAACCCCTGCAGCCCCTGTAGGAGAGGCTCTTGGGTGTCATGATTATTTTCCCATTTTACAGAGCTTCCAGAGTGGTGAGTTAGTGAAGATGAAGGGTACAAGCTTCACAGGAGGCTGCTCCAGGCCCAGGACGGTGTCTCCAGCCTTCCCGACGGCACAGAGCTCCAGGTCCACATCACGCTGTGAAGGAGGCAGAGCTCCCACGGCAAGACACAACTTCAATCCTGAGAAGCCACACTGAGGGGAACGGATGTCAGCTTCCCGCAGGCCTGCAGAGGCTCCCTGGCCTTGGCTACCTGGCAGCAGCCTCTGGGCACCAAGCGGCTCTCAGCCACCCACAGCCACCTGCTTTTTGCTCAGTGAGCCACACACAGACCTGCCCGTGGAGCTCAGGCTCCACCTTAGCCCTGCAGAGGCTGCTGGCCTGAGAAGGCTTGGCTGTCTCCCGACAGGGCTGGAGGCTTCATCAAGTGTGAACTGCAGGCTCCTGAGCACTGCCCTTCTCGGGCGAGTCTCCTGTTCTGTTTTCAGTCAGGAGGAGACCCACTCTGATGGGAGAGGCCTTGGCTGGTGCTCCCACCCAGCACCCACTCAGAGCTCCTGCCCAATCTTCATGTGGCAGGGACACTCGTGCACCAGACACATGGTGGTGGGAGTTTCAGGCCACAGCTTTCCCGCCCAGGGAAGAGTGTGGCTCTGTAGATGCCACCCACTGCCCCAGAATGGACCTGCAGACCTTGAGACCCCTCCAGATGGGACAAAGAGGAGAGGGGGAGAGCCAGCCAGAGCTATGCATTGAGGAAAGTGACCCATACTTACAAACATACATGGATCCCTTCTGGACTTCAGAAGGACACTCCATTGCTCTGCACCCTGCCCAGTGATTTGCCCCTAAACTTCTCTCTCTTTCTCTCTCTCTCTCTCTCTCCCTCGCTCCTCCCGACCACAGGGCTCTAAGACACCTGGCCCTTGAATGCAGATTTCTTACCCTGCACCTGACACTGTTCTCACGCAAACCCTGACCCTCTACTGCCATGGGAGCCCCATCCCGAGCAGCCCAGCCAGCCAGGACTCACCTCGTCAGGTGGGAAACACCAGTGGGTGCGCCCGGTTTATCCAGCTCATTTTCCAGTATTTTCCATTCTTGATATTTTTTTTAAGTCTCTCAACTGCACAAAGGAAAAGCAATAATACTGATGAAAATGGCAATCCCGTGTCCACATCCTCCCGCCTAGTTTCTACAGCACACTCTTACGCACCCCTTCTGCTGCAACGCACCAACAACTACGAAGTGCTGTAATGATCAGGTAATGCCTGAGCAAAGGAGCTTTCCATGTGGCTACACAAAAGGGGTGGAGGAGGGAGGGAAAGAGAGATTGCACTGTGGTGCATGCCTGGCATCCCAAATACTGGCAACACTGGTACAGCAGGAAAGCCTGAGATAAAACAGCATTAAAACCATCTCAAAAGAGAAATAATAAAAAATAAGATGTGTTTGGCACATAGTTCTGTGCCTCCTGGAGTCACTCCCTAAGGCCAACAATGACTTGTGAGGTCTCCTTTTCTAGACTGGTCTTTAGAATGCACTTATAGGTAGACAAATGCAGCTTGCCTCTGGGTCTGAGGCCCTTCCTTGTGGCTACGACACCGTGCCCAACCCCACAGGTCCCAGGAAGGGATGTGCATCTGGGCTCACGATTTTAGTTTCTAGTCTTTAGCTGACTGGCTCCAGAGCAGACAGCGCAGGGCAGAGGGGTCCAGAAGAGGAGACCTGTGGACTTCACGCTGACCAAGAAGCAGAGAGAGGAGGAGCCAGAGAGGAAATGTCCCCTTAAAGGCCACGCCCCCAGGGGCCTGCCTCCATCAGGGCCCACTCATCTCCTACCTGAAGCCATCCCTGGAGTCCTGATCCTGTCACCTTCCAAAAATCCCACCCCTGAATACACGAGTAATTTGAAGTCATGCCAGATCTACACCACGACATCTAGCGTAGGTGTTAGAAACCTATTTATTATCTTGACACATAGATTTTGCTGTTGCTGTGCTGGGGGCAGCTTTCTGGTCCTCGCACCCGTCATCCAGAGCGCTCTCCCCAACCCCTTATGCCACATCTGCAAATGACATTATGTAATGAAGACTCTGCCACTGCCAGGAAACAGTGGGCTCCTCTGCCCAGTGCTTGCACCTGGTCCACCGGGCATCCCTGACCAGGACACCTGAGGAGGGGCTCTCACCCCAGGGGCGCTGGTGACCATGTGGCCATGAGGAAGCTGCAGGTGAGTCTGTCCTCAGGTGGGGACGGGGAGCAGGGAAGGTGAGCACAGAGCCCTGACCCTGCTGCTCGGGATCCTGCTCCAGGGGCACTGCTGGTGCTGGGTTCAGCCAAAAACACGGGAAATTTTCAAATGATAGATTCTATGGCTTTTCTTTGTTTTTCTTGCTTTAGAATTTCCCCCTGGATCCTGGTAACATGGTCATCCCTGGAAAGGTTGGGAGCAGGGCTGTGGTGCTGACAAGGGGCCTAATTCTGCCCACCCAAGGGGATCCCAGTTTCCCCAGGGAAGCAGCCGGTGTCCTCAGCTTGTAGCTTTGCACCTAACAAAGGTTTTCCACGTTTTTAGAAAGATACTACACAGTTTTTCTTCTTGTGTGAGAAGAAAGAAAATGGCTCCTTGCTCGTTCTCACAAGCTAACATGCTGTTTAAAATCACAGGCTCAGCTTGTAAGGTCAGTTGTTTAAAAAGAGAAGAAAAGAACTAGAGAATCATGATGGCAGCAGACAGTGATGTAAGCCCACATACGAGTCACGTGATAGACAAGAGTGTGACTGTCCGCGGGCAAGGTAATGTGGCGGAAGTCCAGTCAAACACACTCTGAGCAAACGCCATTTACATACTAGTGGAATCAGAGACCCGGCTACTTTGCAAAGTACACTGCACAGAAACGTATGTGGACAACAAAGCATAGTCATAGCGTGGATGCAAATGGCCAGAAAGAAAAACAAAAGATTAAAATTCCCTTCTCCCAGCCCCACAGCCAGACCAGAAAGACCCTCTCTGCTGCCTCGAGAAGAGTCTCCCCAATGCCAATGCCAGTTTAAGGCAGAGTGTGTGGCAAAGGAGAACAGCAGAAGAAACAATCAAAAGTCCTTGAAGACATAAACACAAATGGTGCCCAAATGGGCCTTACCTTGGTCTGCAGGACACAACTTTAAGCTCCAGGATGTCCTGGTCAAACAGCAGTCCCTTTAGAAATGACTCACCAATTAAAATATTCCAGATCCTCCTGGCCTTGAAAAAGAAATAGGAAAGGAGAAGCCATTAAAATGGTGATAAAATTTTATTCATAAAATGCAGGAGAAGGGGTAAGAGGAGAATTAGCTCTGCAGAGCAAATTCAAGCTGAGCAAAAAGGAAAGGAAAAAGCAAAAATAAAAGTGCACTCAGTGGGTTGCAGTGAGAAGTCTCGAATGTGGGCTCCTTGTGGTGTCTCCTCTCTTTTGTGCTGTCCACATCTCCCGGGGAGCCCACAAATACATCCACATACTGGCTTCTGGGGTCTCTTTGGTGCTATCCTGGCATCCTGTAATTCACAGGCCCTGCTTGTTTCCCCAACCAGCTTTGCAACACCCTGCTTCCTCTATCAGTCCCACGAAAACCCAGGAAGTTGGATGGCGTGTGGTGACCTGAGAGGGTCCGACGGGGCACAGCACTCAGTGCCTGCTGCTCTCCCCAAAGATCCTGCAGAGAAGAGCACTCGTCACACTGAGGAGACCGCAGGTTCCTCCCCAGAGGCCCAGCTGCCCGAGAGCAGGAACCATGGCAGGGCCCAGGCTTGGGCATTCACTGCTACAGCCCATTTCCACCTTGCTGAGGAGAGGGACCGCGGTATCTATCTTGATCTAAGGAATTTCAGCAGCAAAGCCTGGAGAAGTGAGGCCAGGGCTCTGTCAGGTTCTTCCCTATCAAGTCCCGCCTCCCGACCCTGATAGTCCTCTCTGTCTACCTGTTCACACTGGAGGACCAAGATAAACTCAGTTGATTTTTGAAACAAAAGTTCAAACAATTAAACAAGAAAAATGAAGTCCTTACAAGTTAAATTTTAAAAAATTAAAGTGAAAAATAATAAAATTTAAGATTATTTAAATTTGATACAATTATAAAAAGATGTTCTTCCCTTGGGGATACCGCAGCATCTTGGAGGAACTCGGGGTTAGGCCAATGGGTGGTGTACTTGGGATAGGGCTCAGCAGGCCCAGCAAGGGCAGGGGACCTGGATGGGTGCCCTGCCCAGTGCGCAGCCTCTGCCTGGGGGACACTGGGCACATTTCAGGGAAGGGCAGCCCCCGGGTCACACAAGAGAATGAAGCCTACTAGTGGGGAGGCAAGATCTAATATGATTGGGGCTGGGAAACTCATTCATCGCTGGCAGTGTAGAGACGGGTCTGTAAGCAGGGAAATACCAGAATAAGGGACCCAGGACGCTTTCTGGCTAATCCTGACTAGGAGGAGGCAAAATCTTAGTAGAGTTACTCTCTTGGAAAGAGAGGAAAGGAAAAAATAAAAACGAATATGAAAGGAGCCCTGGTAGCACAGATGGGAATTGCACGCAAAGGCCCGAGAGAGCTGCCAGGCAGTGCACAGAGAAGCACACAGCCAAGGCAGCCTTCACCTCCAATAACACACCAAGAAGACAAAAGGGGGAGGAGGAGCTGACTAGCTTCACACACACACATCCCCTCCCTAAAACTAACCTCCACTTCCCCAAGCCCCTCCTCAGCCACCAGCTGCTCCTCCCAGAGACAAGGCCCTGAAGAGGACAGGCAGGCAGGGAGAAGCCAAACAAAACCCACCAAAAGGAGGCCCACATACGCACAGCTACCTGTCTTGATCCAAGCACAGCACAGGAGGCCAATCCAACTGTGCCACGGAGAAGGGTCCCTCCAACCCCTAAACTGGTACCCAGGGACACATGCCCATGGGACATCCATTTCTAAAGAAACTTCTGCCTCCTCCCATGGGGAGTTTTCTATCTTCTCCTTATTTTTCTCTTACAAATAAAGTGTCTTCCTTTTCATTCTCTCATGGTGTTGAGTTCAGGTTTTCAGTCGCTGCTCATCCCAGCAGCACAACAGTGCAGTGCCTGACACGAAGAGTCTGACCATTGGATACATGGGGCCTTGTGCAATCCGTTTCCGTGAACCTACACACCAGGTGGGTCCCTGACAGCTGACTCCTCTGCACCACACAGCAGTGGTCTGCAAACCCCTGCAGCCCCTGTAAGAGAGGCTCTTGGGTATCATGATTATTTCCCCATTTTACAGAGCTTCCAGAGTGGTGAACTGATGAACATGAAGGGTGCAAGGCCTCGGACCTTGTCTCCAGCCTTCCCTACAGCACAGTGCTCCAGATCCACATCACGCTCTTCCCTACAGCACAGTGCTCCAGATCCACATCACGCTGTGAAGGAGGCAGAGCTCCCACAGCAAGACACACAGCTTGAGTCCTCAGAAACCACACTGAGGAGAACGGATGTCAGCTTTCCTCAGGCCTGCAGAGGCTCCCTAGCCTTGGCTACCTGGCAGCAGCCTCTGGGCACCAAGCGGCTCTCAGCCACCCACAGCCACCTCATTTTTGCTCTGTGAGCCACACACAGACCTGCCTGTGGAGCTCAGGCTCCAGCTTAGCCCTGAGAGAAGGCTTGGCTGTCTCCCAGCCGGGCTGGGGGCTTCATCAAGTGTCAACTGCAGGCTCCTGAGCACATGAGTCTCACCTTCTGTTTTACACCAGGAGACCCACAGTGATGGGGAGAGGGCTCAACTGGCTCTGGGTGCCACCCAGCACCCACCCATGTCTCCTTCCCAAACTCCCTGTGGCAGGGACATTCACATCTGGCAGGAGACCCTCCCTCAGGCTTGTGTGAGTGCAGGGCGGGCCCTGGAGTGAGTGTCTAGGCCTCACCCACTCCGTGGTTGTGAAGGCCCTGGGCCTCACAGATGCCCTGGAAACAGCTCTCATTTTGAGCAGTTGTCCACCCAGCAAACGTTTAGAGCACTCCTGTGCCTCAGCAATGGCACGGCCTTTCTGTCCTGTCCTGGTCACCAATACCACAGTCCCAGGGCCCAGTGTGGTTTCAGGGCAACACAGCCTCACCCTGCCCCTCTCCTCTGACAAACATCCCACCCCCTGATGCTCTGTGGGAATGAAGCAGCTCCTCTCTCTGAGTTGTCCCGAGGCTCCACACTAGCGCATGTGTGCTGCAGGTCCACAGTGAACCCCACAACCCTGTCCTGTGAGGCGCCCCCTCCCGAGGACGCAGGCAGGCCTCTGTCACTGGGCTGGGCCCAAGGACAAGGCCCAGCTGGGCCATGTGGGCTTCCAGCGCTGACAACCACACCTGGGGCTCTCCTCCCATTCACTCATTTGTACTCAGTAAGGAAGGTGAGAGAGAAAGACAGGGCCTCACACTGAGATCCCTCTGGTCAGGTCTGCGGGGAGCAGGACAGGGGGTTCCCAGGTCGCTCTCTTTCCCCCCCACTCTCAGCTGTGACCTCCTGAAGTCAGGGTCATGCGAGGCGCAGGTCGCAGTCTGACTGCGGGCTCTGCAGAGCCACAGGCCCAGGCCCCCCTGGGGCTGATTCTCCTGTGAACCTGGGCAAGCTGAACACTGAGATCCCTCTGGTCAGGTCTGCGGGGAGCAGGACAGGGGGTTCCCAGGTCGCTCTCTTTCCCCCCCACTCTCAGCTGTGACCTCCTGAAGTCAGGGTCATGCGAGGCGCAGGTCGCAGTCTGACTGCGGGCTCTGCAGAGCCACAGGCCCAGGCCCCCCTGGGGCTGATTCTCCTGTGAACCTGGGCAAGCTGAGCCCAGAGCGGGGGAGAGCGC